ACCTCGGAATGATTGTGTTAAGCTAGCACTAAGTCCCTCCCCCATCCACCTTTATTCTTTTCTTTACAATAAGGCTTTCAAATAAGTCATGGCTGTACGGCAGTGAAGCATTGGTGTTGAGCACTGATGTCATGCTGTCGTTGATGATGATGATGATGATGTTCAATGTGGGTACTCTGTTTTTCTAAAAGAAGTAACATTCAGTACACTGGGCGCATATCTGCGCACCCTGTGCACTCCAATATCGATCAACCGGGTTGTCATCTCATTCACCGAGCTTCATTTTCCGAGGACGGATGTTGATCCTGGTTTTTAAAGTGTATTAAGGTTAAAACAAAAACTTTACAACAGGACTAGTCGACGAACATGTGTCAGAATATACGTACTGTGTTTTCGACTCACATACTCGTCGTTCCATGTCAAATCAAACAAATAGGGCGTCTGTTTGTCGCTTACCCGCCAACATTACTCATCGTGGTGAAACGCAAGGTTGTACTTGACGTCCTAGCTGACAGCAGGCACCTGCGGTTTCTCTTCGTGTGTGGTTTTGCATACCTAGCTGTTAAATATCAGTATTTAACATGATGGTTACTTATTCTGCTTGTGAACTGGGTCAGTGGTCAGGGTGCGAACTTACTCACCTAAAGGTCCTTGGTTCGAACCCGACCTCTGCATCTCGACTTCCCCTGTCTAGGTTTTGGCAACCTGGCAGTATCCCAGCCATCATGCTTTCTTCGGTTGGTACGGCAGCTAGTCACCGAAAAGGTGTTAGTTACATCTGAATGACTATCTTGTTATCTGATTGCCATTATCATAAGCTGCATTACTACCTTACTATATGATACACGTAGAATGCTTTCACAAACTAAATTGGTATACGAATTCCAAAATTCGAAAGAAATATTCTTTCATGCTGTGGATTGTAGTTCATGTTGTGGTTTGAAATTGAGTTTCAGAGTAGCACTAGGAAGTAGTCCCAGTAAGTGAATGAATGCATTATTAGGCGATCGTCCACTGTTTGTTACCTTGTACCCTGTCGTGATCAAGATGATCAATTCCCCCACTGTCAGAAGGTTCAAAGTCTCTTTCGCTAAAGCCTTTGAAGTAGGTCGTGATATCGAGCAGCAATGAATCCAACGAACCGATGGAATGGATTCGCCGCGATAAAGTAGATGATGGTTCTTCGGGGAAGACTTCGGAAAGAATGGAAGGTTTGTGCGCTAACCCCTGAAGACGATTCCATTTGTCCCAGATCTCAGCTATAAAATGATAGCCGTACTTGTGTGGATTACCATTGTTCGAAGGTATCTACCATACTTTGAAGACTGATTAAGCATTACCCCGACGTGCTTTGTAGATATTTGCTGTACTTTACAGTTGTTTATTTGTGCCAGAGGGCAAAGCAGATCCATGGCTTTCTCAGACTGTAGGCGCTTGCGAGATCTCAGGGATTGCAAACCAGCCTTGGTTACGGCGTGGAGCACCGTGGATAGACATACGACCAGTATTTTTTGAATCCGATTTTACCATTGTTAGTCCTGTTAAACCGTTGTTGTCACGGAGTACACCTGAAACCCATCTGAATCTCTCGTTTGCGATGTTCTCCAAATGAATGAACATAAGGTTGACGTAAATTCGGGGACCGCGCCTACCTGATGAGCCCAAAGAAGGGCAGAGCCGGTCGTGGACTGTCGAAGAGTTTTCAGCAACCTTATGAGTGGTGTGTTACTTTCTATGAACAGGTAAGGGTTTCAATTCCGCATTGCGTCTGCAATGAGAAGCTAAAGATAGGAACATCCTCAGAACCTAACGAAGTCATTTCTTGCAAAACCTATTCTCTGTAAGATGTACGGTTTTTTGGTCTCGTATTTTAATTATTCCGCCGCAATATATTCAAAATATTTACTTCTTGATTAATACTATCTCGGGAAGAGGGCATTTGGAACAAGGAAATTGGAATTATGTCAGTGGAGTGTTGCGTCAAAAGAAGGCTTTATCTTTTTTTCACCACATTCCATAATTTCTCTGGTGGTCATTTCTGGCAGTTCCCTGAGTTTTCTTATTGGTTGACTGGGCGAGGTTTTTCCTACTTCCAGGTAACTACTCCCATTGCCCAAAACTCCGTGTGGAGATCGAAAAACCACCTCTTTGTTGACATTCCACAGAACGGGGCAGAATTTCGTCATGTCTTCACCGTACGACCGTAGCAAACAATTGATTATGAGTCCTAAGTAATAGTGCTGTTGATTGTGTTGAACAAGGGGGATGGGAAGTTAATCTGTTGATGATCATGGACGGATAAGAGTGCTGTCGTTTGCCCAACTTCCGAAGTATTCAAGTGACATAATCCTTTGAGAGTGGATGTTAGCTAGCTAGACATCTAAATATCCTCAGGTCAAACCGACTGCCACCATATTGTTTAACACTACTAAAAACGATCCAGCAAGCACTAACAAATAGTTGTACAACTTGGTAGTCTTTTGTTGTGTGCGTTGATGAAACTTACTTTTTGAATACAAGAATGTGCTAGTTTTTCAAGCTGTTGTTCGAAGCACTCCATTTGGGGGTGTTCTATACCACATGAAGACGAGTGTTTTGGGACAGGACAATTTCCTTCTACCCTCTTCTCACCTCTGGTGGATCCCCAAGGACCGGTTTTGTATTTCTGCTCAAATGTCGAATTATAGTAAAGGGCAAACTGAAAAAAATGCAAATACAGTATAACAATGACTTTAGGGTTTCTGCGTCGACCTGGTCTTCAATTTCTCGTGTTTTTATAGCTGCTTGAAGACCACCAACTTAATCGATCTACTGCGCCAAGTATGACTCCTACGAGTTGAGTGACAGTGCATCCGCGTGATCTGTGAACAGCGGGCTGCTATCGATTACCCAACGCCTGTCCTTCTGTCTAATGGTTGTTTTCCCATTGTGAACTACTTCGACATTAGGGAACCTGTGTTTGAAACCTAGTAGAGGTTACCCATGGTGTCGGAGGTGGTCGCAACATAATAGCAAATCTAGATAACCGATAAGTGGTGGTCCTATCAATATGATTTTGTCTAGATATCCCGCCGTTTTTAATAATCGGGAACACACAAGGCAAACGGATCGGTGGCCGTTGCTCCACTATACTTTAGTGTCGTCAGTGATCTTTGCTACGACCTTTAGAACGCATGCGACTGTCGTGTGATGATTCCTTTATGTGTTTCAGTAGAACATCCATCTTGATTTACCCCCGCTGATCGGATTAGACACCTAGCTTCATCTTTGTATGGAAAACATTAGACGTCGTTGTTCAGGGACGAAACGGAATTCGCATGATCAAAGTCGAGTAGACCATGCTTCTTCAGATTACCCCAAGGAATGACCATTATCGTGCAAAACTGTTCTTGGCGGCAGGTTTGCAATGTCGCGCAACACACTGAGTTGTCTGCATCGTCAAAATGTGACAATAATGTTCATATTTCATTGTTTCATGTTACGGATGATAAACGAATTTCTAAGTGATCTTTTCAACACATCTGCTTGTGTGAACATCCCTATTGACGGGTAACCTCGCTTTATCTCAGCTGTCCCTCCCAGCAACCATGGTTTATTATTGTACCGATCACTTCACTTGTATGGGGAAAAATATTTTCTTCATATTGGTCGAAATTGTTCAAGACATACCCGTGATTTTAGTTTTCAACCACAGTAGACCTTGTGTGCACGTTGTCAGGTAAACCAGTAATGCCTGCCAACATGTATCTATGTTCTAAACATCATCGCATGGTATCTTTGCACAATACTGACGGTATCTATCTCCTGGAAGCTATTTTATGTGTTGAACATTTCTGCTCAATGATGGACACACTTATCCTGCTTTAACCCGCATGGGGATAAAAAAACTAGTTGTTGGGGTGAAGTTTTCGACAATTGAAGTGCTCAAACTCACCGCATTCTGGCACTTTCGTTTGTGTTGTTATCTCGCCTCTAGACTCAATGGTCGAAAATTCGAATCTACTGATAACCATACCACGACTTGCGGAAAACGCGTAATACTACCAGTGCGTATACAAAGTCATTCTAGCTCTTAAACAGGGCACAGAGTATTTCCATCTCCGACTCGCTCACTTAAACGAATTCAAAGCACCGATCTGCTAGCTGAACTTCATACGAATCAGGCCCCACCACCCGTGAGGTGGTGGTCGGCCGGTCGTATCCGGTCGACGTTTTGATGCACTAAAACCGGTATTGAATAACCTCAAAACATTCATAAAACCTTTCTATGCTGTTACAGTCTTTTTGAAAGCGCGCGTCGCTTTCGCGTGCTGTTCACCTGTGCATACTAGATATCTCTATTCTACTGTTGTTTGTTTGTCGCAGCAATGCAGTGCATTCCGCGCAACCGAACCGGAACTTCTTCAATTATTTATTGATTCTCGTAGTTTTTCACTCCAACCAAAGGCGGAAATACTTCCAGATCGATTTGTTGTTTCTCTCGCAACAGCCACAGAATAACACTACATTAAAAACAAAATATCTTGTGGTCCGGTACGTTCGAACTGCTTAACCGCGTAAAAGTAGCCAAAGCGTCAATGCTTGGAAATTTTGACATTCGTCCTTTTTGTTTGAAACCGGTTTTGCGGCCAGTTTTAGGATAGATGCGATTTCCTGACCGTAAAACCACCTGTACATTCAAACACAGGCTCCGTTAATCCTGTTTTATGCACTGTTGTTCCTCTTTTGTTTCGTTTACCCGCCGTTTGATGTCTTGGCGCTTGCAAAAAAGGTATGTAGATATGATCTAAGTCCAACCTCCACAAAACGCACAAGAGAACCGTATCTATATACTTTATTGTAGGATACCTCTCAGCTAAGTATATCACTAAAATTCCCATAGCACGACAAAGGCTCTTAAATGCCTTGATAAGAATTTAAAAGCGCTGTCTAGCTGACCGTATGGGGACTAAAGAGAGTTTCGGTGTCTGAACTAAGAAGTACATTACTTCAGTTCACCCTTGGTTTGCCAATAGCCTCTGACCGTTCGCAATAATTGAACCCTTCCAATTCTTACGTCTGGCACGGCACATAAACACCCGAAAGCGGGTTGAACAATGAGACATATGTATTCGTAAACACAAACAGAGTGGTTACCGAACAAACATTCCATCTAAACCGAATGCTTCAACTGGTTTCTCTAGATACCATTATACCAAAATTTTGAAGGTTGTCTAATTTGCACTGTTTAGGTATTTGTGGGTACAACTTTCGTATTAGTTCCAAATTTCATCCACTTATTCTTTGCTCAAGGCGCTATGTTGCCGCCGAGGTGAACCTCCGCCGTCTCGGAGAGATGTGTGAAGGATTTATACCATCTTTTGCTCATTCAAAGTGTCATCGACACTAGTCGATTGTACTTGGTTTCCATATAGCCTTTGGGAGATGAAACCCATATTCCCAAGGGAAACATTTCAGCGCACCCGACCAAGTGATTTTGTTGCCCAACACTTTTCAGACTAGGTTCAACGTCATTCTGGATTTCGAGACGGAATTCACTAAAAAACCAAACCCAGTTCATGGTGCCCGATGGGCTAAAATTTCTGACAGACGAAGAGAGAAGCTATACGGATTAATCAACGTATTCTGTTGCATTCTATTCAACAGCTGAAGTGCACGTAATATAATTAGGTCTGATCGGCGGACCAGATTTGAACCGTTTGGGTACATGAAGTGATATTTTAAGCTAATGTAAGTTGGATACAATCTGACTACGATTACTGGACTTTAAAGGTTAAGTTGCAACTTTGAATGTGGGCTATTTATAGGTTGCTTGATTCAGAGGCTGACTGAATAAATAACATACTAGGTTGGTTAGATCCAATCAGGGCAGACTTCCAGTTGGATTGTCTACGAATTTCATTTGGGTTTGGATCACATCTTTATGCCTGTCTGGTGGATGTTTGGTTGCTCCAGTTTTTCGCCCATACTTCAGTGTCACTAGTTGTCGTGGACGCTTAGATGAGTTGGTGTAACCCAGTTCTAGTGTTTTGAGAACATTCAGGTACAGGTTTACTGTAAGTATGTCGAACTCCGTCACACATGACTGTATTGGTCATTAGTATAAAGCCCTAACTGGCGTTCCCCAGTGTCTTGGATAGCTCATCGGTAGCTAGCGTTCTCGGGCATCTGCCTTCGCTTTTTGTTCTCACCGTTTGCTTGGTTAGTCGTCCGTCTGTTAAAGAATCTATTTTCGCCTGCTGCGGAGGAATTCCATAAACTTCCGGTTTTCACTGTCTACGCAGCATGATCTTTCTCGTACGCACGAGAACACGGAATTTGCGCGCCGCCATCAGCCCCTGTTCGAATCAGCGAAACCATGGCGTCGACAAAAGAAGCGCAGTTTACGACGTAAATCAACTACAAGAGAACAGGATTTTGCTCTTTCCTCGAGTCTTCGGACCGCCCAGAGCACAGGAAACTTGGTACTCATAACTTTCTTTGTTCACATCCCAGTTGTAAATGTGTGTTTACGCGGGTGAGACTGTTGGCGTGCACAATACCTTTCTCTACTACTCGTTGTTCCTTTATGTCCTCACGTGTGTGGAATCTTGAATCCGTCCTTCACTTTTGCAAATACGCTTGCCTCTTTATCAGTTTCGCCCTTAAGTGGCACTTGCTTAGCTTGCACGCAGTGACGTCCACTTCTTCCGTGCTCACCTGTTTTTTGTAGGTAATTGTATATCTACTTGTTTTTAGACACCATATTTGTCGAGCTCATCCACTGCTAGCTTTTGTCATCTAACATCATCCGCTAATTTCTCTAAAGGAAATTGTGAACGCTGATTGCTTCATCTACTTGGTTCCGCTCCGCAGGCACCCTCCAATCATACTGGACGACCGGGTTCTAACGAAAAGTCTGAGTAAGTCGTTCACTTCTATTTTGCCCGATAGATCTGTTTCGCCGAAGTGGCCCTCGACCAACATCGCCGTTCTTCTTACTAAACTTTCTCCTTTGGGCAACAGCAACTGTGAATTCGTAGGTACTTCATTCGATCTGGGTATCATATCATTCACTAGCCATTGTGACCATAGTTTATTCAACTAATGTAACCGGTTCTCAGCCTTTATATAGTTTTCCAATTTTACCTCACCAGCTTGGAACCAGTTTGGCCGTGAAATACCACTTATTGGTTTTTGATCGTTAGGGGGCGAGATGGCCCAAGTAACTAGAGCGCGAAATTACTGACCGGAAGGTCCGTGGTTCGAACCCGACCTCTGCCCCTCGACTTCCTCTGTCTAGACTTGGGAAACCTGGCAGTATCATAGCCTTCGTGCAAACTTCAGGTGGCATGGCAGTTAGGCACCAAAAGGGTTCGACAGCTGAACGATTTTCCGATCGCTAGGCCTGTACCAGGCAAGATTTCAGGCAGTGTGTGTTGCGGTCATTCTGCCTCAAAACCGTAAATTACTTTGTCATGATTATAGTGAGTGCCTGGGTGATACGTACCTATTCACAGAGCAGTCACCAAGTCATTTTTTGGATCGCTATGTGTTTGGCTCTGAGTTGGGTTGAAATCAAAGCAATACAAACCAGCTTTTGATGATGTGAGAGATGTAAAACGCTGCGCTATTTTGGTAGAATTTCCATTCTCTGTCTGTCTGTTGTAAACTTGTGGCATTATCAGATATTCTGATACTGATACTTCGGAATTGAAAACGCGATCACTATGCGAACTGAGAATTCTTAACATTCGTGTATGTGTCTATCGATGATTGGAATGTAGTGCCCCACCGGCCGTAGTAAAAGGATGCTTAAAACCGCGACGTTTTTAGGCTTCGGGGAGATGGTTGAATGGTTTGAGTTTAACCGGATTCAGGTTCGAAGTCGCTTGGTTTGAATTGGATCTCCTGCAAACTTGAGTCAGAAACTGTTGCTTATTGCTCTGTTCGAGTGGACCACATGTAGAGAAGCATTACGCATAAGACATTCTTACAAAGTAATCCAGTGCTACTTTGGTGTATCAGCTTACAAAATGAGCTGATGTAGGATATTGTGAACGGTTGATAAGGCTCCCAGGAGTTCTTTCATGCAGTTGAGTAACTATTATTCCACAAGCGTACAACAAAACAACAGCCATCGAAAGATGTCTTCCGTTACATATGTGTCTCAAAATGGAGATGCTGGCTGCTCGTAGACAAGGATGGGCAAGTATCAATCAACCTGTTATAAATAAATCAAGCAAAAGTCCGACAAAGTAGTTTATGTAATTTTTGTGGCAAGACAGCCGTAATACACCAAAACTGGAAGTTATGCTTAGATGCAATCGCACCTGTCTTCTTCCTTGTGTTTTGACGCCTGTAACTTGGAGTAATACCCTCGTAATTCCATGGTTTTGTTTTCTCTTAGAATCTGTCAGTCACCAAGAACCACTGCATTCCATCCACTAGGTACAATACATGTGTGATCTCCTGGTTTTGTCGCACAGTTTACGTTACACATCTGCATGCCACCCTAAAACGACTTTGCTCAGAAATGTGCTTGAAGCTGTTTCAAACGGTCTCATTTTTATCCATTTGAGGTAAATTTAGTGTTTGATTTTTTCTAAACCGTCTCTGAAAATAAGCTCAAGTTTGAGCACCTCTGTGACAAATGTCGTGTAAGAATTCACGCATTTTATTCACTTTGTTTGCGCTTATTCGACATTAGGCATAAGAACACAGGCTTTCCGTAAACTCTTCAGGTTTCTCTCTGTCGTGGTTGTGTCACAACTCCTTTGGATAAAACCTTGCAAAGATGAATTAATTGATGGCCCAGCGGTGCTGATTATGGTGAACCCCAATGTTCATTCACTACTCTCATCCCTTTCGTCAATATTCGTCCGTATTGGTATCTGATATCAGTTTTGTGAACAGTTTCGATGAATTTTTAGGCATATCGATATGTAATTTCTGTTGGTCGCCGCGATGCTTTTTGGTGCTATTTCATCGATGACCGTTAACAGATATTCTGTAGTCGGTTACCTTAAAAAACTGTATTGTTTTTTTAGTGGCCGTGATATGGGTTGTCTTCGTCAGGAAACAGATATTTTGTCTACCAATACATACAGTAACTCACCCAACTCTGGAAAGCTTTCGTGGGATATTCTGTTTCGGGTCTGTTTGAGTGTGAGTAGTGATTTTTGGGTTTAATCGTTCTCACATCGAGCCACAGACCCTCACTCAACGTATCCGTAGGTAGATGCGTTGTTATGTTAGCTCACCGATAAATTGGATTGGTCACCCTTGAAAATTGCTCCCAGTTGACTTAAACATACACGACTTTGGTCTAGATGAACTAGGCAACGGTGGTTATCTTAGTCGATAGGAAAAACTTTTGCTCACAGATCCCTGTTCCATCGCTACCAATAATTATCTTGGATTCTTCCTTAAATCTATCCTTATTTAGTATCATGTCGGTGGTATTGCATGTACATTTATAGAAGTCGTCCAATTATCTGTTCATTTATTTTTGCACAACTCAAGCCACTATGCCGCCTTCGTGTTATCCGTTTTGGAGCGTTCCATTGTCCTTTACTTTGAGCACTTCAAAGTGAAATCTTAATTTAGCACTGCAGATATGTCCAAAGATAATGAAAACACATAAAAATATCAATGGTCGATCAAACACCAATCACCTGAAATCATTGAACGACTGTTATGGGTAACGCCAAGCTGAACACTTTCACCGGTTTCTGTTCAGTCGATTCTACGATTGATTATGCTTACTACTGTCTACCAAAGTTGCCAAGCGGAAATGCGGAGGTAACTGAGGTTTTGACGACTTCAGAGGTGATATTCGTTGAATTACTTGCAGTCATAATATTCTGAAAAAAGGATCAAGCCGTCAACGCCGATTACCATTCAGTTATGCAGTACGAAAAGCATGAGTACGGCTTTTGGTTACTAAGTGCTTTTTCTGAGAAAAAGATCAACCTTGGTGGTCGACGTGTCCAGCTTTTCCAGCGAACAAACTGTTTGAACAGCTTCCACCACCACATACTCTGCTCGTACCATACATGTACGCTCGGCTCTGAAACGACGTAGTTATTTAGAGTCAGTAGGGCGTTCTGATATCGGTGCGAATCAGCTGATACGTTCTTATCCGTTTACTCTGGTTATCCAATTAATTAAATAGGCCATTTGGAAAAAAATTTAACCGATGCGTCCTTAGTTATGCGAACGTGAAAGTGCGAAAGCCCTGTCAACCGGGACTTGTCGGGTATCATGTTCACCAGTTTGGTCTAACTTCTGGACACGGAAGCACCTAGGTTCTGTCTGAATGTGCCAGGTTTTTGACGTCCAGATAACAAGAGTGAGGTCGTTAGGGCTTGCATGAAAAGTCAATCTTGCGCATAGCTGTCCGTAATATTCGAAATGTTTTTGTTTGATCCCAGCGTTGGCCTGATTTCCGCGTTTTTCGAAATCCATGCATACGCACCATAGCCGGGTACAAACGACGCTTTTCTTCGTTCGGTAGCTTGTTGACACGTAACCGGCACTTGAAATACCCGCATTGATTATGCTCTGGAAACGTAATTTGAGGACATACTAATGGCGTGAATTGCTTGATGCTGGTCAGTTTTTATACCCGCGCTTCCAACGCTAATATGACGGTGAGCGGCGCTTAACACAACACAGAGGTGCCCATATGTTTTTTACTTGTGTTCTGCGTGAACCGTTTTTTTTATTTATCGCTTCAGTGCAATCTACCGTTCTTCTCATATATATGAGCTCCTGGGCTAATGGGTCAGTGGAGCTAAGGATAGTTCGATGCACAAGGAAACGAATACATTCCGCGCTCTTTCAAGTTGAAATGGTTGTAGGATGTGGTATTGACACGTTTTTCTGTGAAGTTAGTTGACATCTGATATCTTTTCACCATGAACTCAAGCATTGTTTCGGGTTTCAGTGATTGGATGCGAAGACATCTGTGATGGATCGTTCCTCCTGTTTTACGCCGTTTGTGGTTCACATCCTTCAGGCCCCATCTGTACGCAACCAGTGCCATCTACACGTGGAACTGTGACGTTTCTGAGCGTGATGTACATCCGCTTTGCTAGCAGCACATTCATAGTTTAAAAGCCATTGTTACATTGTGTTTCATACGTGCAGAATTAAAGCAGTTTCACACGTTTAGTCACCAGTATGATTTTATTCTTACGCAGTTTAACTGCTCTTCAGAGTAACATAGCCGGTGCTGAATATTCTGTAACTGCAGAAGACCACGCAGAAACTCAACAGCTCTTGGTAAAGGTAGCATACGAAATATCAGTGGCTTTTTGTTCGGTAGAAGACACTCAAAAGGGCACTGGGCAGTAGACATCTGTGGAGCCAGCAGCATGTGCAACTATGAGGTATCACACAACTGATTGCAATTAAAGCCTAATAGAGGGTTCGTTTCACATAGCTGTTAAAGATACATGCTGTGTATAACAAGGGGAAGCACTTTCCGAAAGCAGTTATACAGAACTGTTATCTTGAGAAATTACGACAGTGAAGCATCGGTGTTGAACACTGATGTCATGCTGTCGACGATTATGGTCTCGAGAAATCCGTCAATGCAATTAACTGTGATTCGAAAAGGTCCCCATGCTTACGCCGAAAATGAGGTCGATATTTCTGACAGTAGCGTTCATGGGTGATCACAGAGCCACGAACACGTGTCATTGATAAGCATTTTCATCTGTTCAGTTTCAGATTCTTCTTACCGAGTACTTATTCTGTGTAGATAGCATATATCCAACGACAGCATGGGGAATCACTCCCATGGGAGTATGACATATCGTTCCCCGCCAAACAATTTACTATACTCGGTTTACGGGACGTGCGTACGATTACCAGGTGATCCCACATATACTTTCTTGTCACTTATCAATCCATTCGCTAGTTTGTCCGACCTAACCCATGTGGGATGCTACTTCGCGCCCAAATACATGCCATTGATTCAGAAGGCCATAAATTAAGTAGTGAAGCAATAATGACTTCAAGCATTTAGATGCAGAAAGTCCAGTAAATACTTCAGAAAACAGCGTATGAGGATATCGCATATGTGAACTCGTTATCTGAACGTGCTCCCTCTTCTCTAATCTAGGGATATATGGTTTGATAGTCCTGGAGAACACAGTGAAGGAATGAGAAACAGTTAGTTGGATATCCCTCGGTGTCTAGATGCATTCGAGTCCGTCCAGTGGCTTTTACAAACAATTATTGTGGTTTTGTTAGGGCGGACATCGTGTGCTTTCGGAGGTGCAGGCGTTTGCGATAAAGCTGTAGATCCTCAGCGTCTGGCCCCATAGGCTTTTTGTCTGTCTTGGACATGTGAACGTGATTCTAAGGTGAATTAGTCCCCAGATGCTGATACTTTAGCTTAGTAGAAGGCTTAACCACATCTACTGTTTGCATTTTGGGATTCAAGCAGGTGAAGTAGCAACACAGACTCGTTGGTTAAATCCTTTTCTTGTTTTGAATATCTGACCACAATCGCACTCAAAATTATTTCTTCTTCCGTAAACCTGTGCGAGATTTTTCCTTTTCCGTCTGTTTCATATTTACACGTCGCTAAATAATCCAATGTCAAGTTGAGATAATTCAAGGGGTGTAGGATTTTCCAGTTGTTTGCACCGAACCTGGAAACCCAGTAGGATACTGTATCTTCACATCAAGATCCTAAATGATGCACTTCAATCTGAAGAAATAAACATTTATGACCGTTCTCGAAAGTCTTGCTGGTCAGTTTTCATCCACTTTTTGTCTACATTCCAAGCAAACTTCGTTTGGAATCCTTGTAAAATCCGACGAATCCAGTTTTCGGGTATCGTCCTTAGCTTTTGCGTCACAGAGACGAAGTGTCCTTCGAATACCAATAAAAAACTACCTGTTTAAAGGTGTTTACAGTTTGAACGGAGATACCTTTCAGTGACTACTCGGACCTGATATGCTTGCAGACTCACTGACCATGTCACCTCGATTGGTGATCAAACGCTCACGAAATTGCCAAGGTCCGCGGACAATTCAATCCATAGTAGTTTTTCTAACTCATATTCCTGGGGTTTCGGACTCCACTTCACTGGACGACAAAATCTACCCTACAGAATACCCTCTTGGTTAGTCATCGGGATGCTTCTGTTTTGTATTGCGTGCAATATTCCGACGAAATATTCTCCCCCCCCCCCAGACCGTTGGTCGTGTATCAATCTCTATCTTACAACCAAGTCGTCAATACAAAGACTTTCTAGATAATCTTGAACGAATGAGTGCCCGCAGGGGTTCGTCATCAAACGTTTAAACTTGGTTTCAACCGCACATCTTTCAATGCACAGGCCCCCTTCTTTGTTTACTTGTGAAATCACCACCACTACCACTGTCGTAACAGCTCATGTACGAATCAAATGCCAATATGATTTCAGGTCACTATTCACCCACCGTTTGCACGACATCGTTAGCTATCATATACTCAAAGTTGAAAATTCACCACGGGACAGCTGCTGGTGTACACCATTGTGTATTTCACCGCTGATGCGCATTGTTTATGAGGTGCTTATTCGTTCCACGGATGAATGAGACCGCGTAAAGGAAAAAAATATGTTCTCACTCCCCGTCCCTCATCGGTACTTGTGTTACGTTTTTGTTACGTCTTTTGTTTTCAGCCTGTGTGATGGACAACCGAATACCCAACACATGAGCAGAATCTGCGATTTGCTGGACAGTAGTGACTTCTCCGACAGCAGTTTTGAATCCGATGAAGATAGCCAAATAAAGGTTGGTCCGTATGCCGAGAGCCGTGTCCTTGTGGGAATCAAACGTGACGGCACGACTGAGATTGATCCCGAGGGAAGCAATAGCGCCTCCTGTTCCAAGCACCTTGCACCGCTTGCGAAACCAGAAGCTGGTTCTTACGCGTATTCTGTCATCAGTACGAACGGTTTACAATATAACGGGCGTGGAAAAGTTGATGCACACGATGTCGGAGGTCCACGTTCCACTACAGAAGTCCATGAGTCAGATATTACTTATTCGAGACCTAACCCTCCACCTGTTTCAAGCAGACCGAAAATACTATCTAATGTTTGTCAACCAGAAAACCGGGCTGAACTAAGTTCAGCGACATCACTGTCACCTAAATCCAACCGTGCTCCCACCAGACCACCTCCGATTTCCACCACGCGCATCTCCCAATCTGAGAATGACACTGGCTCTCAGAAAAGCGACCCTAGTTCGTTGGTGCCTTCTGGTATGAATGCGGTGAATACACACCCAACTGCTACCCATATACAGACAAGAAGAACTATAGACTCAGACACATCGCCAGTACATTCTACAGCCGGTTCACCAAAACGGGAAAACACTGTGGTCCCAAGTTCACCACGAATCGCAGTATATGACCGCCGCGGTGAAAACTCTCCGAAGGACGACTCATCCAAACACTACTTTCCTCGTAAGGCACAATCCCGTTTAAGTTCGTCTCAAGACACTGCCATTGTTGTCGGCGAATGTACTGCTCTTTACGACTTTGCAGGTACGTGCGTCCGTAAGGAAATAAAACCCATATTTGAACATCCAATCGATTGCTCATTCTGTATCAGACTAATATACGGTCCTCCTCAAAGATAGTTGGCGTGCATACGAAACATGCTTTATTGTGTGACTTCTCGTGGGCATTGAGGTATCAGGATGCACCCTCGTGCAAAACCTGTCAACTTGTTAAGTTTCACGGTGGGCATTTTTCTGTTTTAATCACTGTACTTTGGGGCACGTCCAAGTAGGATAAGGATGCGGCAGCGATCGCTTGTTTAGTATTTGAGAGTTTTCATTGTCCGGAACATACACATAACTACGCAATAACATTATCAACCTGCATGCAAATTACTCATGAGCTCCTACTATTCATCAGTGGTAAATTTTTCATTACCAGTCCGTAGCAGCTGAACTGCTTTTGAAGGTCGTGAATGTCGCGTCGATAGACTGGTGGGTTCCATCAGCGCACCTTACTTGCTCTATGCGGAAGACCGATTAAACGAAAATATGCTACCACTGACTACTTTTCTCGCATTTTCAACTTTTCCTTGGCTGCTTAATTCCATCGATAGGAGTCAATCTGTAGATTACTACCGCCACTGAGACAGATTACTCTATTTACCTTGCACACTTGTCCATATTAGGATTTATCAACGATGCGTACCCCATGAAATTTCGAGCTGGATATCCTTTCAAACGCCTGTATGAATTTGTTGTCATGATTGTCTCCCAACATAATTGAAACGGCTCGTGATTCTAAACGTTTCAGAAGGACGACGTCTAAATCCAGTTCCTTAGAATTGACGAAGGATCGTTTAGCTTGCCGATGCCGTCATCGGTATGGGTTCGGATTCAGCACACTTTTAGCTGTAGGATGTTCAGATAAGGAGACCTGGGCCTGGAGAGAATCGTTTCAATTTGAAGATATAGATATGCTGCAATATCTTATACATCGCTTTCTCAGAGTTGCTGAATTTACCAACGTTTCAATTCATACCTGAAGCATGCTACGGTTCATAGCCTAGCTAGTTCATACCTGGTTCCTGGCACTCAAAAATATCAAATGTAGCATGCCGGGATAGTATCTAGAAAGACGTTGAGAGTGAAGTTAGAACCTCATAGGGAAGGCTATCAAATTTGTGAGGGGCCGCCGGAGACACCATAAATCCTGGAGGTCTCAAAAGATCATTCACTCCAACACTGGCTTCTTCGCCAATGAGTGTTGTGCCCCTAATTTGTCGCTAACTACCAAAGAAACCTGCGAAAACAGTCTAGCCTTCCGAATGCGACTCACTCTCAACGGTACCGTCTGTAATGAGCCAATCGATCTTCTGAACGGAAATATCTTTAACTTAGCTACTGGTCTGTTCCTAACGAATTGGGCTTAACGGGCTATTGGCTTGGAGTGAATAAGCACCTCAATCCTAGTAGTCTATGGTCGGTTTGGTGCCACAAACCGATGTCCCCCTGTGAATTCGTTAATCCATACGTCACCGTGCCGGATGTTTCGAATAGAACGGACCGGGGTGGATGTTGCCTGAGGGAGACCAGCTTAGTCCAAAGCTTTCACTTCAGCCATACAATATTGCTGCTTTGGATTAATTCGCAGACCTATGGTATAGAATGTATACGGTAGCTTTTTTACTATCCCTACTCCAAAAAAGTTACGGTTAATTATGAATGGAAATAGCTCGTGTATATCAAGTTCTATTGTTCCAATCGATCTGTGACAAACTTTCCCTCACATTCCAGCTGATGGATTCGAACCCTGCTACCTGGCCTTCAGTGAAGGTGAAAAATTCTATACATTGGCACCTTCCGTCTCCGAAGACACAAGAGAATGGATGCGGGTGATTCGTTTCGACAACTACGAGCCCGGTTATGTCCCCACTGCTTTTATGCAACAGCAGCGCTACTCACAGCCAGTCCTACTTCCAACGGGTAATTCCAATTCCAGAGAGGTTAAATCATCCAGCTGCGTTCCAAGCCCTGTTCATACTGTCACTACAGCCTCCGGACAATCCCGGTCCTCTCATTCAGCAGTCAGTTCGCCAACTGCCTTCCATAAACCACCTAGAAACTTGAGAGCACTGGGTGCAATCTACAGTAATCGCTTAGCCGGAAGTGCGAGAGGCACAGACCTCTAGTAAAACCAATATCGCTACACCAGAATGTTCCCGAATCGCCTAAATTTGTTTCACCACAAGCCATCTACCCAAATAGTCTTTCAAGAGTATCTCATTTGGAAGTCTGCTTGTAAATATTTCATTCTTTACTGCTATATATCCCTCGCAAACTTCTCCAAAACTGAGAGAAGACGAGTGCGAGTTTGCTTGTCAATGATGCTTCTTACCGGTTTTTCAATTTAAAATGCGAGGTTAATGTTAAATTTCTTATTGCTAATCGATTTAGTATTTGTGATGCTTGGTCGCAAGCGTTTTTGTACACAACACGCTTTTTGCTAATGAATTTTTTTGTCATAAGAAGAATAACTAAATCCTTCACAGATAGGTACATTATCGTGCACAAAAATAACCACGTTTTTTTCTTCAAAAAAGTGGTGGAGGGCCATCACGTGGAATAGATCCGGGGGGAGTTTAACGACGTCGCACTCTTCTAATTGGAGAAAAAGATGTGTCGTCATCACTCTCAATTTCGCCGCGTTCCAAAGCCTGTTGATTCCGCCTCAACATGGCGTAGAACTGGACAACTTTTGGATTTGCTTGAATAACTTCTGGGCGCCAGTCGAGCAAACGCAGACCGGATAGTGTGCGACAGCGACTTAGTGCCACGTAGGCTTGTCCACATTCGAATACCTGAAATGACAAGCAGCAATGGGTGTGGACGCAACCGGGATTCCGAACTTTGATCAACGTCGCGTTACTCGATGCACTGGGTATTCTTATCTAGTTAACATAACAGTCAGAACGCCATGAGGCCATTCATTTCGTCAACATTCCGAAGAAGTACTTTAAGGAAACAGCTCCAAAAGTTGAAATGTCTACTAGACAGAGGCGGTCCTTCCTTCGTAGAGGGGAAGCAATGAAATCCGTACCGGGCGCTCCCCGCTCTAGGATAAGGGGGTATATTTCGCGCAACAGGCATGTGCCGTTTCTTTTTATGGTGCTCAATTATTCCCAACTGAGTCATCACGAACAAATAAATTCGTGCCGCTGAAATTGAAAACTACACACCACCGGTGTTGCCCTTATTAAATATGGTAAGGAAAAGTCACTAATAATATACTTTGCCACGAAGCGGTGTGAGACCTCGACCAAGCCGATAGCATATGAAAAGTACATAACAGTCCACCATCTATAATGACAATTATTAAGAACTTCAGAGATATTGATTTGTTGTTGCTCCACCTCATATTCCGGGTTTGATAGATTAGTCCCGGACTATTGCGCATAAAAAAGGGCCACTAAGGCATATGCATGCTCATGCCGTTTGCCACTTGAAAGTCTGGAGCAAGACTGGGTCAATGGAACAGGACTTCCAATATGGTCTTTCTTATTGAGGGGTAAATCAGCTACTGGTGGAACCGGGAAGTGTTTCAGCTCCTGGAATTCGCTCCTTTTGTGCACGAGGGAGAAATCCAGTTTCCTAATGGGTTTCTGCTCTGGAGGAAGAGGCATCACAACTGCCATACGCTTATACTATACAGCGATTTCGTCACGTATTTTATTCCGGATTCTTATCCTGATAGCTGAACTAAACCCTACCCCACTCAATATACAGCGAACCACCTAGTTCAACATGTTTTTGGTGCATCCACCTACGATAGTGTACAGTAAGGTTGGACGGGGCAAACAAAGTCCGAAGTGCTGCCGCTTTAAAAGTGGACAGAATTAATGATTGCGCTCCACTAGTTCAAGCCATTTGAAATTTCCTGACTTTTCCAAACTTCGAAACACAGTCCTGATCGAAGACAGTCTCGTCGGGCGTCAGTGGCTCTGATGTGCGATATTTGCAGAGGTAACTTATCCCCAGGAGGAGGCTTCGTCTGTATGGCAGTAGGCTCCATTAGCCGGCACGATGGTCGAAACTCAGATGTGTAAGTCCCCAACCGTATTCTCATTCGGGGAATTTACAGGTGTTATCAACGGCTGTCACTTTATAGAGCTGCATGTTTCAGGTCATCCGGCTACGACACGACGAACACCGTGTTTTGACTAAACCTTCCTCTCAGGACGCAAATCAATATTAGTTTTAGCGAAATACGCTCTTTTGCATATCACCCTGGTTTTCACAGGACACCTGAATCCGAGCTGGGTGTGTTGCACGAAGGTCGCCCCACGTTTCAGTTGATATCGCAGTATATTCTCTTGAAGGAAACTGTTCATGGGGTTGCTGAAAATTTCTGTGGCCGAGCCCTTCTTGGGGCTCATTAGGTCGATGGAGTCTCCGAATTCCTCTTGAATTTACACAGAGTTTACATGAAATGTGGGTTTAACGAGAACATAAGATTGACGGAAACTCGCAGGCTGCGCCTACTTGAGCCCCAAGATGGGTGAAACCGGTACTAAGCTATCGATGGGTTTTCAGCAAACTTGTGAGTAGTTTCCCTCAAGAGAATATTCGTTTTACTGTCTCCCTGTTTGGTGCCGATGTATCAATGAGTCGTGTAGCCTAAAGAGCAGTTAAATGAATTACACAACCGATTTCGCTATCGGTTCAAATTGTGGCAATATCATGCAATAATATTTTCGTGTGGAATAGAAACGCTGATGAACCGAATACTCAACATGCCACAAAATTCGTGGAAAAAGTCAAGGTCACGACTTATCTGACAGATGGAACATTGGCAAGCACGGCGAACTGGGGGTAGAGTGAGAAACGTGGTTAACATAGACTAGCATATCGCTCAAAATTCAAAACCTATCTAAATTTGCTGCGCTGTCAGATAACACCGCTCACTTTTGACAGGGCCAGTTCCGCAGTGTCCAGAGTGATACCCTGGCTCTTGTGGACGGACACTGCCCAGGCGAGGTTCAGAGGCAGCTGCCGTCGGTATGCATCAACGTTGAGTAGTTTCCTCAAGAGAATATTCGTTTTACTGTCTCCCTGTTTGGTGCCGATGTATCAATGAGTCGTGTAGCCTAAAGAGCAGTTAAATGAATTACACAACCGATTTCGCTATCGGTTCAAATTGTGGCAATATCATGCAATAATATTTTCGTGTGGAATAGAAACGCTGATGAACCGAATACTCAACATGCCACAAAATTCGTGGAAAAAGTCAAGGTCACGACTTATCTGACAGATGGAACATTGGCAAGCACGGCGAACTGGGGGTAGAGTGAGAAACGTGGTTAACATAGACTAGCATATCGCTCAAAATTCAAAACCTATCTAAATTTGCTGCGCTGTCAGATAACACCGCTCACTTTTGACAGGGCCAGTTCCGCAGTGTCCAGAGTGATACCCTGGCTCTTGTGGACGGACACTGCCCAGGCGAGGTTCAGAGGCAGCTGCCGTCGGTATGCATCAACGTGTCCAGTACCATCAACCCGAAGGTTCCATCGTTCGTACTGAACTGTGTGCAAAACTGTGTGGTCTTTCTCACTTCCGGAGCCCAGCCTTTTTAGGAAAAATCGAACTTGTGGGGGTTCACCATCTCCACCTAAACGTTCCACTACACCACGCGCTCCATTGACCAGTCCTCGATTTGTGTCCAAATTGCGCAACAACATAACCTACGATTCAAGGGATAGAGATACGTAATATCTGAGAGAACGTAATACAATCCGACTGCAGTTAATGACGTAGTAACCCCAGGAATTCGCCTAAGAACGGACGAAAATGGGAAGCCTGGCCCAAAGAATTCCTCAGTTCAGCATAGTGCTGCTAAAGTCAGATAGTTCGGTGACCTTATCTAGATTAGTCTTTATTCCACCTAGCCTATGAAAATTAGTTCGAAAATGATGAAGTTACATTTTCCAGGTTTAAGTTTGACACACACTTTGGATCTCCTCCAAAATCTGTTGATAGGCTTTGCAGGTGTTTCTTTACAGTTCTACGGTGTGCTAGATAGTTGTCTAAAGAGCGAAAGTGGATGCCAATCTACGGAACACCAGGTACATATGGTGCTTAAATGTGACTGCACCATTCAGTAACCGAAAAGGCTATAAAATCCCTACATGAAATTCTCAATAGGTACTTTATCCATCTTTTTCGACCTGCCGGTAGCCAGAAGCGCAGTTTACTGTCCTGAAATATTCGGTTCCACTCACCGTATCATAAAACTCAACCCAAAGGGTGAAACTATCCAACCGGCGACTCCGTCGCGCGAAACGCAAAAATGTGCACTGTCTGTAGTCCCACAACGGATGATTACTTGCGCCGTTGCTTCACCGAATTTGGCGTGGAAATTTCATCAGACTACCAAACACAACTGCCGTTCCCCTCAACTTTTAGGCACTATACTCCATTTTCTCTATTAACTGAGGAATAGCGTGCTTCCTAAGGGTGGCATGGAAGCCAGGCACGGAAAGGGTGTTACAGCTGAACGATATGCTCGATAACCGTGTAACTAAAGAACCCAAAGGTTTTTCTTTGAGCGGGTAGACCTCGTTTGTGCCGTTGTGCCTCGGTTTCTACAGAGCTATGCGCATCAGATACCTTGTCACTTGGTTTTAATTTACCGTGGAATTCGCACACTATGCTTACTAAACGGTCTCACCTTTGGTTTGACTTCACTCAATTTACAGGTATGAACTGCACGTATGCACTTTTCATTGATTGCAACGGCGGCTCGTGTGTTAGTTTTTGTGCCATGACGATTATTGATGCGATCAATACGGTCACTTCACCCTGATGTACTATTCGAGTTGCCGGTCGCTCAAACATTCGCATGCCAGGTCATGTGTGACTCAATAAATGCTATATTATGAAAAACTTGTTTGATCCGATGAGATGACGCACCCTGAGGGGACTGATCTGTGCATCAGTTCCTGCTCCACTATGCCTCATTGAATTTGCATACGTAAAAAAACGGGAGCTTCCACACCCATCAGCACTGAATGGATGTACCAAGCACATGAATATACAACTTTTAGTGTACCTACCTGGGCACCAACCTTCAAATGCAAAGCTCGAGGAGCAGGGCATATTAGGTCCAAACGCTTGGAACTTGCTGGAGAAGAGTCTTTGGCTCGGAAAACTTTGGCATTTCCTTGAAATGATCAGAGAGAGAGAGGGGATGAGCACAGAAGGTAAGACTCATGAAATCCTGCAGGGCAGACTACAGAGTAAAACAGCGAATGCTACGTTTGTTTTCCTTCATAAATGCGATATCTTAAGATCATGAGGCTGTGGGACTAACAGTGCCCTCAACATGAAGAAGTGTGCGTCAAAGATGCACCGATTAGACATTGACGCTCAAGATTATCAAGTTAGTTTCATACAAATCCCGTCTGGCGTATCGAAATTAAGCAAATGAATAAACTTTGCAGTAGAGTCTCAACGCTAATTTCCCGTTGCATAAGAGTGTAAAACTCCCTATCAGCCCCCCACCTGAAGATTATTAGGCTACCAAACACGGTAATTACTCATTCGGATAGAAAACATTGTTGTATAAACATAATATATTCCGGGCGAGTACGTCATCAATAATGGCCTCATCAAATTAATCGTTATGAACGCGAACTCCGTTGGATTCACCCATGGAATTCCACATCTGGGAATATACTAACTACACCTAAGAATGAGCAAGTTACAATTTCTGACATGACTGAAGCAAGTGGAATCTGGCTGGTCGAAACACACCCCTACGTAAAACAATTACAATCATCTCGGCGCTAATGAAATTTTTCAAGCAGCTCATGTTTAGCGAAGACAGAAAGACTTCTCCCAATCTTTCTCCTTGTTATGGAGACTGCGCGTTCAGCGCCCGGCAAAGCACTATATTCTTTTAATTTTCAACTACTGTCAAAAGGAAGTAGACAAATTCCACCAAAAATATTGGGGTCGGCTGGGCGTGACAACGGAATGCAAATGCTTTGTTACCAATCCAGAACATCGGCGTTTAAAATGACACAAACACCAGGACGTAAGAAGGTAACGTAACACTCCGGAAATGGTAGTTGGTTTCAAATCTACGAGAGTTGATGACACCAAGGTCGGTTTCGTTGGCAGTTGGTGTTTTTTGGCCCCAGGAGTTCAATTCGGCGAAGCCTTTTGTGCGAAAACGGACACTAAAATATGACATCTGGCCTACTGCCCTCGTTAAGACTCCAAGACGTGCCCTTGGGAACATTTTTGGTTCGTAAAACCTAAATCGCACATGTTACTGAGATAAGCGAACACGTGTAAATCCAGTGTCAATTCAAATTAAACAAATCCAAATTCAGAGTTGATCATATACGTGTATGACGTCAGGCCTTCCGCAAACAAAACGACGACTCTTTGTCGTACGATACCAAACCGTGCTGTGATAAAAATTGATTATTAATTGACGAACTTGCCCAACTTATTCGCAAAAAGGCTTGGTGAATCGATGGATTTATTGCTAGGCAACGTTTCACTTTTGACAGCTGCTGTTGCTCTCACAGTGAGTTCGCGTGATATTGTTTTGTACCTAGTATCAGAAACAAGAATTCAAGATGAAAGCACAGTGGAAGAGCTAGCTATCCCACTACTCTCCACTCGCCTCAGGTTGTGCACCTCTGACGATCCAGAGGCCGCTGCGGCAAGTTGTGCAGAGGTTCGTATCGTCCTTCAGTTGACTGGATGCTCGTTAATAGTCCTGTCTGTGCGGTTCGTCTGGCAACGTCTGTAAATGAGTTGGATCAAATATGTATTGACCGCAGGCTGTCGTATGCAGTACTAGCTTCCAAAATAGCCAAAGTCGTTTGGCCACATGGTGTCCTCCAACGGGGTGCCGGCGACGAACTCAAACTCATCACGCGATTCGATAACGGAACGCCGCGCGTTATGGAACATATTGGTGGATTCCGACCACGCGCTCGTCCGGAGTCGTTTCTCCCTTAGTTATTCAGGGCCACGTAAGGTTAAGACAACTCGCTTAGCAACTGTGAGGGTGACGGATTCCGTAGTTATCAGAATCTTTGTCTGAACTGTTTTGCAAGTGCTCCACCGTTGGGTGTGAATTCGTGCTGGAATAAGTTCGCCACGTCTTTACGCAGCGTTTGGAGCTTTGCTTGTAGGTGCCACCAGGTTCGCTGAAGTAGTGAATATCAGAAAGAACAGTGGTGCTACTGGAATCTCTGAAGCACATTTCGGCCGGTCCCGAACATCAGTTGATCCGATACATTACTAGATATCAAGTGAAAGTGAGCGTGCGCACTGACCATGAAGCCTAACGGACCTAGAGGGCCAAGGAAATGAAAGAGGCCCAGAAAGACGGGAATGCCAGAAAGTAGTTCCATTTAATCCATGCGACCGAACCCCGGAAACTAAGTGGGCAAAACTATTAAGGATCAAAATGGTGCGATTCTAATAAAGGAAGCCGCCTTAACCCGACCTGAGCACTAAACAAACATTCTCGTGGCCACCCATTTGGGTCCCACAGCTAAAGTAGAACTCTGGATGAATTTGGAACGCCTCAGAAGTTTACGAATGCATGTGTTCTGAAGCGCCACTGAGCTTCTGGTATGGATGATGTCCCAGCCGCATTGTTCCGAAATCGCGTTGAAGTGCTCAGTCAACGTTTGTTTGATCTGTTTGCCCGCACCTGGGAAAACGAGACTGACCAAGACAACCAGCGGGAGTCAGCGATAACAAAGGGGCGTGGAAATTACAAGAGGCTCAGTTTGACCCGTCGTGACGAGACTCTTGTCTTCATTGGTCCTTCGTCGCCTTAAGATGGCTCGTGAAACACTGACACGAAGGCAGCAAGCTGGATTCCAATAGGTTACGGATTGCGTTGACCAAATCTTCACACTTCATCGGGTGTCAGAACAACGTCATAAATATAAACTACCCATAATTATAGTATTCCTGAAATTCTGATGTTTTCCTCAACATGCTTGCCCATCAAAGAACACCCCGGAAGTTTGTGAATATAGTAGGTTCTTTGTATTCACAAACTTCCGGGCATGTGGGAGTGAACGGAGAGCTCCCCAAAAGCTTCCGTACACCAAGAGATATCCTTCATAGGTGTCCATTCTCCATTCCTATTTAATTTCGTATTGGGCGACAAAATGAGACGTGCGTTGAAGAAACTCCAAAGCTCTGGTGTCCAAATAGCTGCCGACGGAAACCTTATCGATCTATAATATGTAGTCTTCGAAGAGATGGCGCAGGTGTTTTTGGATGAACGGACCAAAGTCATTCCGTCTTTTACTTTGGCATGCGCTTTGCACCCACGAAATGTAAGGTCACGCTTCTGGATATGCAGTCACAGGACACGCCACTTACAACCCAACAGAAGGCAATTGAAGTTGTGGGGCGATGTACGTATCTTGGAAGTTGTATTAGTTCTGATTTTAGTGTGACAGATGAGGCCAATGCACGAATCTCTTGTGTCACCCTTGCTTAGTTACGACACCTATGGCATCAAACTGTCATATACCTGAATTTTAGGGGATATGTAACAGGCAACAATATATGGTTGGGACTTCGTTTTTTCGAGCAGCATCACTAAGACGTCTTCGGGTCTTCATGATTCGTTGTCTCAGAACCGCAACTCGTATAGGTGTCGGCGAATCCGCAAGGAGGCAATTAGAAAGCGAATGTTCGGTTGTGCAACAGAGGGTTCCATCGAAGCTGCGGTTATTAGACCATGTATGTCGAACCACGCATGTCGAACCATCTTTAGCCCAAGAGAGTGCTGTTCTCCGTGCCCGATTCAGAGTGGCGCATGCAGAGAGGTGTCCAACCTTTCACCTTGCAGAGGAGTACGAAGACATCAGGAAGATCAAATTCCTGAAAGTAACCACTAAATGCCCGAAATCAAGTGAGACCCTCAACTCCACTAGATTCTGACCAGAAAGACAACGTCCCCTCAATATGCAGCTCGTGACAGCCAGTTAGAACCCCGCTTTAACTCAATACTTGCAACATTTGATGCTCGTCGCAAGTACGTTACAATCAGAGCAAGCGAAAGTACGATTTGATTGCAGCTCGACAAGGCTTCCGATATTACGATTGTTTCCCGGTGCACCTGGAGGAAGATCGGATCACCGGAACTCAGACCGACAATGAACACTGCCAGAAATGCTTCAGATGGTAAGCTTCAATTACTTGGTGAATTCGATTGTGAGATAGAGATAACAGGTCACCGTGATTGTGGTATTGTCTACTTTGCTGCTTGTGGGCTTAATCTCCTGGGTATGAACTGGATCGATCGCTTGCATCTTTCAACATCGCCTATCAAAAACTTATGTTCATCAACACCGACAAGAGGGAAGCCAATATTCCGGGGTGGAAACCGTGTGCTCGTGAGGAACCGTCGCCCCGGGCACCGAGCTGGAAAAGCAGTCAGATATAACGGAAAGAGACCGCGAAAAGTCTGGATGCTATCAGGTGGAATCGCCTTTTAGGTTGGGGACCGCGTAATATCCACTATGTCCTTCAGACGCTGCAGGTTATGCCTGCTAATCGCTGTCATTGGGGTTCCTGTCGTCAGTTTCTATTCAGGTTGTCTAAAATGAGTGTCTTGAGGGGTATGCATCTCGGAATGATTGTGGTAGACTAGCGCCAAGTCCCTTTCATCCATTACATCCTTTTCTTCACAATAAGCCTTCCAAATAAACCATGGTTGTACGGCAGCTAAGCATCGGTGTTGAACACCGATGTTATGCTGTCTGTGATGCTGATGACTACCGCTTTGTTGAACTAATCCACTGGCCGTCAATGGAGGAATTGTTTATTCTAACTAACCATCGATTTTTAGAGATATCTGATGAGTAACCAAAAGTGGGATTGAAGTATTAACTTCAGATTTGGTAAGCAGATCCGAGAATCCACCTGCTAGGTTCTCATCAAGCAGATATATTAGGGATTAGGTTTCCGGGGAGAAAATAATCCCACAAGTACAGCACTTTGATTCGCCGGTATGATTTTGTTGGTTTATAGACGCTACCATAGCGGAAGCTTAAAGGGCCTGACCACAACCACTTCATCCGTGCATATAGTCGTTGATAGCAATATCAGTGTTGACGCTGAAGCTTCACTGACGTATAGCCCAAAAATCACCCTAGATGAGAAAACCCTTGTCAACCCAAATCGGTGTGCTCAAGACAAGAGTAAGAATAGAGCTATGGAAGTAGTATTCAAACTAGACATTCAACTAAAGTTCCCGACAACTCAAAGCCGTCCAGTTCGTTCGTCTAATGCAAACAGATTTGTTCTGAGGCCAACATCTGAACCATCAAAAGTTTCAAACTGCGGCGCTCGCTAAAAAAGCAGTGTACAACAAAGCTTGGTAGATTACAGCAGTTAGGTGAAACAGAAGCTAGCCTGCTTGCTTCAGCTGTTTTCGCGCACCTACCTGACTCAGAGAGTCGATGATAGAAAGAATATATGAGTGTTCTCTGTCGACAAAACTGAATATTTTTTCGGCCGATGATGTGAAGCATCGACTGTTACAGACATACCTGGCAGAGAGGCAAGCATTTGCATATTCCAAGCTTCTGCATCATTTCGGTGAGTGCACAGTCGAGTTGCGACTAGGCCTCCCTTCCTCACACTGTTCTTATCGTCCGAAGAGGAATGACACCGAGACATTAGCAACTGGCGAGCCCAATCCGGACAGCGTCCTTCCCTGGTAACCGATAGAACTCTAGCTAACTCAGGATCATCCGACTGCCGCCATGAACGAACCAACTCGACGCATGCAAAACGACAAGCTTTCCAACTAGGTGATTCGAAGGCAAACTGCGTTTTACTCTGTGAGAGGGAAGAAAAACACATGAATAACAGATCCATCCAGAGCGCCCTCTAGGGACCGACTACACACGTACTCTTCTCGGGAATGTGTTATCCTAGGGAGTAAAATCAAACTCTGAAAAACCTACAGCACCTCAGTGATAACACAACGTTGCACAGTTTGTGGTTCGAAAGGTTGACCGACATTCTCTGCAGATGGCTGTCACATGACAACTGTAGGACGGCAGGTACCTCTTCATGAATTTGTAGTGTACATCACGCATATTCGAATCGAATACGGTCGGAAGATTATTCACAGCTTTGTTATGGTACCGCCATTACATTATGAGGATTAATTGCTAGTTATTCAAAGTGCAACATTCACTATTGACGGAAGCACTGTTCGCGAAACACCGGCTATTCATTTAGGGTGGACTAGTATAGTCTCTTTAATTGTTCTGAACATCTTCTGACGGCTGCTCATTAACTTGTCGTATTCCAATTCATTTGGCATTTAATCTTAGAGTACTATTCATTGATAATAATACTCCTGCAAGTATTTGGACGCTGAAAGCTTTGACTGATTTGAATCCTTAAGCAACCGTGCTCAGAATGTAGCTGGTGATGAAAGTTGACGTGGGCTTTGGAAAAAATGTGTACCAGAAGACGTAGCTGTAACTCTCAGGAGTAATGCTTCGGTTGTTCTCATAACTGCAAATCAAACAGTGGATTATTATTGGCCGCGCTTTTCAACCAATGAGTCAACCGCGAGTGGAGTAATACAAAGATCAACATGTGTATGACGCTTCACTAGCGACGGCAGCACTAGAACAATTGCCCCCCTTAATTTCCGGAAAACGGGCCACACCATAATAGTCATTCCACCACTTTTGACAGCATCCTATCGTTGCTTCGCCTTTGTCGGGGATCAACCAAAAAACCAAATGACATATACATTTCTGTACAAAACGCCCTTCGCCGAGCAATATTATACGCGCTTGGCTAAAGAATATTTGACCCCACCCCACTCCATGCTGTTATGGACGAACATTTCGAAAAATACTTTTCGGCCTTTGAGACTTCATTGTAAAATCTCATGAAATCCACCTCACTCAGCCCCAGTCATACAACATAATATATTCATTCATACCCAACATTTTCTCCAACCTCAAGGATCCACCGTTCTTAGCATAATAAAACAAACATATGGCCAGTAATGCTCGTTATAATTTCGTCTATCGTAATTTATGATGATCATCACTTTTTTCAATCCATACACCGCTTGATAATTAACAAGAACTTACTTGAATGCATCATGTTAATAAAAGACACACTTGAACAGTGATCCCGAAAGTAACGCTCGTCGTATTCCTGGAGGATTTATTCACGTCACTCCACAAAGTCAATTGTTCCTGGTTCGTGTGAGATTTGTGAGCTAGTGAGGGGATTACCCACTATGACCAATGATGACTATCAAAGTGGCGCACCAACGGCATGCTCTCTGCCACTGAAAATACTGAAGCTTTAAACTGTCCTACGTTTGTATTGGAGGTGTGATTATGAAGGTCGAGTGGCCAGCTGAACTCTGGTCGTGACCAGAGGCGTACAAATTACCTGACTTTAATGAGACAACTATCAGTACGGCGAGGCGGATACACGTACGGAAGGATGTCTGCTTGGATTTGCCCATCCTCTACTATATACCTATTTTAAATCAAATAAATACCACTGAAAAACTTTGACTGCTGATGACAGCCATCGGAATTGATCACGAAAATCCGAGAGAAAAAACTGGCCGCAAAACTATCACTCATATTTTGAGAATTGCCATAAGCGACGCCTTCGTCATTCTGGTGAGAAAAGAACGAATAGTAATAATTTAAAGGACCTACGTCCCCCAGGTTTGCTCTCCTCCTTACTCTAAGGATTTAAGTTTAGTCATCTTCCAATGGATAATTCCACGCACAGCAAGTTCATTCATGAACGCCCAAAAACTAACTCCGCGTTGACCAAAGATATGCTGCTACCTAATGGACTTGATCAAAAATCCCTTCATCGGGTTGACAACTAATTTTTCAATTCAGTCAGTTGAAAAAGCACTATCAGAACTCTTCACAAAACCTGTAGTGTACGGTACAAACGTTCCGCTTCTAACTTCAGTGTCTATCTTAAATATTTACACAACGGTCATCCAAGCAAACAAAACAGTCCATGAACATGTATCTTTTTCAGGTATGTATGATTTCGAAGTAGACAGCACGGAATTTCTTGCGGTTGAAAACGAAAGTTCCGGAATTGTGATATAGGGAAAGTGAACGGCCAAAATCATAAGTCAGGGAACGTGCAATGTCTCATTCATTCACCTCAAAACGACATTGGATTTCAATCATTAACCAATTGCTGTGCACGCCATCACTACGGAATAGATTCTATCCTTTTTTGAGTTTTTTTCATCCAATGAACTCTACTGTAGCGAGGGTTTGTGACCGAATTATTCGTTTCAAGCCAGTATAATAACAAAATCTTAATTTATTGGACTCCCAAATCATGCAATATCCTAGTTTGCATCGGATTTCCCTTCCCAAGAGAACAAACAAAAACCAAAAGGGACGCCTGGTTCGTCAAGTGATTGATTTATCCCTTCAGTAGTGACACCAGAAGGGAAGCACATCACACAAGTCAATCAGAATCATTAGTGGACCATCAAATTAGTCATTTTCTCACAGGTACAACGGATGACAGGCTTGTGACGCGGGTTGCCAAAAACGAACACTTATGTAAGGGTTGGAGTGGGGAAGATGACTGGTTGACTATTGTCAAATCGGTCAAGCCGACGTCTGAGGTTGGCAATAAGACTCAGTGGTGACATGCGTGGATCTTCTTGCAGATCACCGGATGTGAGCAGTTGCGGTATCCACCTAACCTGCTTATTCTCCAACAGCATAAGCCGCAAAAAAGTAGAGTGAGTAGGAAAGTAACTCTGCCAACACTAAATATTTTTGTTATTATCCGAACAATTTGTAGCAACGAGTAAAATCAACATATATGGCATCATTTCCAAAGATGTGTAAGATCCTGTATCTTCCGTTGAGATTTACAGTCAGAGACGGGAATAAATACGTATCACATACGTGTACGACTTCTGAAAACAGTCAGCCCTCGCACAAGACGAGCGTTGCTGAAATTTCACGGTAAAATTTTTATTCTCAAGCCCCCCAATCCACTAATTTGTGACAGACCTATTCATCAACAGGGAACAACATTCAACATTAAGTAAAAAAAGTTTGGTGAAGAATGGCATACTCACCTGCTTGCTCACAGGAGGTAATTGATAGAAGTCACCAAAAACGATAACCTGAAGTCCACCAAATGCCCGCTGCACCACCTCCCTCTTGCTGTCGTTCACTGGACACCGCGTTTCTCGGGCAAGCAGGTCCAGCCTGGTAAACAGCTGAGAACTGAGCATACTGATCTCATCGATAATCAAATGCTGTATTTTTCGCCAGCGTCCGTTGACTGCCGGTAAGGCTGTCAGGCGGGCACGTAATGCAGCCAACCAGGCTTGCGTAGATTCCTCAGAATCCACTATTTCTGAGGACAACAGAGCACCGACGCCGCTGAATGCATGGATGGTAGTACCGCCGATGAGATTGGCTGCCGTACCTGTGCTAGCAGTGACTGCAGTGCAGTCTGGTGGGAGAATACCTCAAGAAAAGAATAAGGAAATGCATTGGACGCCAGTAACAGTGTTGTTACTCCGCAGAAAAAGTATCAACAGCTGTCTCCGGAGTACACTAGTCCAATTTGGTACCGATTGAGGCCTAACGAGGGTGCGCGCTTTTCTTGATTAACCAGGTGTTTCTACCTTTGTAGAAAGACGACGAGAAACAGTACCACCACGATCGCTACTACTAGCAAGTTTCAAAGGTGAAATGTCATGCATGCGAGAACTGGATGAAGACACCGTGCGATTATCGAAAGACTGGTCCCGTTTTAGTACCCTATTATAAAGTTAATCCAAAATGTCCTCCGAATTTTATGAATAGCAAGTACAAACCTAGAGTTCAACGTTAGCTGGCGCAGCAGGGGACATGAAATTAGCCACGAAACCGACCGCCTTTTCTCACCATCGACAGCAATATACGATTGATCGCTACTGATGTAGTACAACCACGAAGAATGAAGTCATAGTTGAGATAGGGTGGAAAGGGGATGATTAAATTTATCGCGAAATATCTATGTATCCATGGAAAACTGACAAGGGTGGGATCTCACACCGTCTAGTGGTATTTAAATACACGCTACTGAGAAGAATACTGGATCAAGAGGCCAGCATTCGCGTCGACTGATCATCCCCTGCGAAAACTCCACCCAACTTGGACCCTCCGTACGACGAAAGATAGGTTCTAACTGGACAGTCTGGCTAACAAGCAACAGGGTGACTGCAATGGGATTGTATTGCGTGTTATGTTCTGTGCGGTTTCCAGTCACGGGCAACGACAAGCACGTAGACCCAGCCAGGAAGGTGCGAGCTCAAATTAACGGTAGCAGTTGTTTTTTCGCATTGTCAATTGACAGCCCGTCTATTACGAGCCTTTCGTCGATACGGGTTCGGAGTGGGACTACACAGCTTTCTTCGGTAGACGATAATTGGGCATACTAAATCGTTCAACCTGTCAAGCTTCAACTGGAGCTCAAACGATTACGAATCACTACCTGACACGCACGTGCGAACTACTTTTATACGGAGATGGCGCAGTTTTGTCTCGAATAATCGAAGACGAGAAAATGTCTTCGTCCTGCTGTTCCTCACCACACTAGCTCGTTGAATGTGCAAAAAAGGAACACTGGTGAAAACAAGTCAGCAGTAACATAGTTACAAGTGCAGAAGACTAGATAATTTTAGATTCTCTGAAGAAACTATTTGATGTGCATACATTCTAGGAACCCAAATGGTGTGGGGATCTCGAAGAATCCAGACAAATGAGATGAATTAGCGGCACACCGCATGTTGCCCTAGCTGCAAGAAGTGGAAGCTTTGTGTTGACACAACGCGGGAGGCCTACGCTCAGAGCGATAACAACTGACTACGGACGAAAATATTACCAAATACATTTTCCTGGAAGGTTTCGCTAAGTAATGGATAGTAATACAGATATTAATACGGATACCGTGAGCTCAAACCGTTCGCTTTTGTGAAGAAAAACTCTTAAAAAGCATCTTATTACTCACTACAAAAACCAGCGATTTGCTTCGCGTCCTTGAAGAGTTCTCACTTTGAAGACACTGGAGTACGCGTGAAACGCGACGCTGGAAAGATCGGCTAAAAACAGGACACATACTTAGTCACTCTCACTGCTCTTACCAAACTAAATGTTTTTGGAACTCAGACCTCTCTGCTACATACCATGGAGACTAGGCATGGACCCCCAGAGTCAATGCAGCACCAAAAGACATCCGCGTAAAAACAGCTGCATATGTTTAGTTATCGATCATTGGTATCAACTTAAGAAAAAACGAAGAAATGACCACAATAACTTGCAAACGAATGGACTAAAAAAGCTAAAAACGATTCAAAAGGATTCTCATACTCAGCATTGTGTTTCGACAATCATCACGAAATTGACCTCAGTACTGGTGAAAAAACTCAACAAAATGAAGTTCACTACACTCAGAGTTGCGGCTAATTTGCACTTCAGGCTTTCATAAAAGAATGTAACGCGATTACATATGGGGAACACATGTGGTGCAATAAAACTTCACTGTGATTATTGTTTTACTTAGACAACTGACAATGCAACATGGGAAGGGATAAGAAAACTACTTACTGATGCCGTCATCACCATCATCAGCTACAAACCTTGTTCAAGGGAAGTGTGGTTACATTTGCGTTGACTACCAACGTCTCACCAAGAGATAACGGAGTGATCTGACACGATGGTTCGGTTTGGATTTTCGTACATTAATTTCTCCAGCAAAGACATCAGGCAAATACGATGTACAGCTTGCAAAGTGGCCCTAAAGGTCAGAACCACGATTCCCGACGGAGTGGAATTAGAGAATGATAGACTTAGAGCTAAGAGACTGCTTTGGAATATGACAGCGGTAGCAAATCCATATTACGAAGGGATGCAGCGGCGTTACTGCCCAACCACCAATCCAAACCCCTTCTAAGAGGACAACCTCAAGTGTTCATAGCTATTCTCGCTAGATAGTCACTGATGGAAGAAAATGAAAGGGCTGTCGGTGGGACCATGTCACTTTTTAATGGAATAGTATCAACTATGAAGGGAATATACGAACCTTTTTCGAAAGTACAGTGATTCTATAGGTTTTTTTTCCCTTCTGACTAAATGCTGATCCCACACTTTCACCAAAATGCTAATTGGGCGCATAAGAACATGGGCATTCGTTCAAAGTATTGCTTTCAAAATAGCCTGTGCTCCGGAATATTATTAGTCCATAAAGTAGACAGAAAGCTCGCGGGTTCTATCATACCACTTCGAACAACATATGCGAACTACTGCACACAGGAAGAAAAAGGGTGATCAGGTGGTTCAGATCAATGCAAGGATATTCAGAGATCACCATTCACATCAGAATCACTGTCAGTTGTAATAACCGCGTACTCGTCGTAACGTGGTTGTAGCTGCCGCAGTTTCGTTCACCGATGATTTGGGGGGGGGGGGTAGGTAGCTGCACATTGCAGGCGGGAGCTGATAAATTGATGCTTAAATCAAGCGCTGTCAGTGGGGGGTTGGAAAAGGAGCTATCCATTAAAGGCAGTAGCTTTGATGCACGAGCGCCATTGAGGGCGCGACTGGGCCATG